ATCCTCCCTCACCCCCAAATCTGGAACCTGCTTGAGCCTCCCATGAACCGAGAGTAAAGAATTCTAGCATGTTTAACATTTGCCTTTATGCTTTCCCATCTATTTTCTTTTTTGTTGTTGTTGTTTTAATTTTTTTCTGAGATGGTTTCTCTGTGTGACCCTGGATGTTCTCGTTGTTTTGTAGACCAGGCTGTCCTCGAACTCACAGAGATTCTCTTGCCTCTGCCTCCCAAGTGCTGGGATTAAAGCATGCACCACCACTGCCTGGCCTTCTTTCCCATCTGTAAACGTGATTTTCTAGGACTCTCACCAGAAACCTCATTTACAGTAGAAGATGTCCTAAACCCTTTATGCCACCCAAGTAGTTCATAGTTTTACTTTGCCAGATTTTAATCCAATCCAAGGCACCTCCAAAGCCACACTATAATCTCATTTATCAAAAGAGAAAGAGCCAAGTGTGATGGCTCACACCTTTAATCCCAGCATTGAGGAGGGAGAAGCAGGTGGATCTCTGTATCAAGTTTCAGGCCAGTCAGGGCTACTCCTGGGGTGGAGGAGAAATTCTTAGCCACCCCTTTCTTGAGTGCCACCGAAATGATACACGTGACTAATGCTAAGACAGGTCATTCCGGCTGTCTCTTGAGAAGCCCATACCCACATTGGGTATGTTTTATTCTTTCCCTAGTGTCTCTCTTAATCCTCTTGATGAAACTGTATATTTGAATAAATACCTTTTGCCAGTGTGGTTGCTCACGCCTTTAATCCCAGCACTCAAGGCAGAGGCAGTCACTTCTCTGTGAGTTTGAGGCCAGCCTGGTCTATGTAGCCAGTTCATGCAAGTTCCTTGCTACATAGTGAGCCTCCATTTTTAAAAATAAAAAAGTCCTTTACTATTTAGCATCTCTTAGGGTTGGGGATATGGCTCATTCAGCAGTTGCCATTTAAGATAAAGACCTATTTGGATCCCCAGCACCCACTTAAAAAGCCAGTTGTGGTATCATATACCTGTAATCTCAGCACTGGGAAGGCAGACACAAGGCCAGCAACGTAATCAATTGGAGAGATCCTGGTACAATTAGAGATGCTGTCTCAAAAAAAAAAGTAATGGGATGGAGAGATAGCTCAGCAGTTAAGAACATTGGCTGCTGTTTTTTTTTTTTCCTTCCTTTTTTTTTTTTTTTCCGAGACAGGGTTTTTCTGTATTGCTTTGGAGCCTGTCCTGGAACTCCCTCTGTAGACCAGGCTAGCCTCAAACTCACAGAGATCCGCCTGCCTCTGCCTCCTGAGTGCTGGGATTAAAGGTGTGTGCCACCACTGCCCGGCCTGGCTGCTGTTTTCTGAAAGACCCAATTTCAGTTCCCATCCCCCATGAGGTGACTCACAACCGTCTGCAGCTCCAGTTCCATGGGATCTGATGCCCTCTTCTGGCCTCAAGTATCAGGCATGTACATGGTATACAGACATACATGTAGGCAAAGCACCTGACATAAACATCTGCTTCCACATGTATGCTCACACATGCACATGTAATTGTAGTTGCAACCCTTCTTTTAAAGGTATGCATATTCTTGGGTGCCTTTTTTGTTTCTAATGAGCTCTTGCTCTGCTTGTGCTAGCTTGCCATGAATTCTTTGCTGCATTGAAGTCAAGGATTGAGTTTTCCTGGGTTGAGGTCTCTGCAGACTACGGGAACACCTAAGACTGCTGAGGGAGTCACTGGGAAGCGGAGCTTCAGTCCCCACGGCCAATGACGGTTTCCAGGGTTGTTCTATCACGAATAAAGCTGTTATTAGCATTCATATACAGGCTTTTGAGTGAACAGACATTTTTATTTCTCTGGAATAAATCCCCAGGAATGTAATTGCTGGGTCATATGTTTAAGTGTATGTGTAACTTTATTAAATCTGTCAAACTGTTTCCAGAGCAGCTGCGCCATGTTACATTCCCACCAGCAACACCGAGAGCTTGGGTTTCTCCGCATCCATGTCCAGATTGACTGATGCTGTTATAGGTAGAGGGGTGTCTCCACACAAGACCTGCCCCAGCCCCAGAACCTGTGCCACAGGAGGGAGGACCAGATCACAGAGAGAATTCACAAGACCTGCCCCAGCCCCAGAACCTGTGCCACAGGAGGGAGGACCAGATCACAGAGAGAATTCACAAGACCTGCCCCAGAACCCGTGCCACAGGAGGGAGGACCAGATCACAGAGAGAATTCACAAGACCTGCCCCAGCCCCCAGAACCCATGCCACAGGAGGGAGGACCAGATCACAGAATTCACAAGACCTGCCCCAGCACCCAGAACCCGTGCCACAGGAGGGAGGACCAGATCACAGAGAGAATTCACAAGACCTGCCCCAGCCCCAGAACCTGTGCCACAGGAGGGAGGACCAGATCACAGAGAGAATTCACAAGACCTGCCCCAGCCCCAGAACCTGTGCCACAGGAGGGAGGACCAGATCACAGAGAGAATTCACAAGACCTGCCCCAGCCCCAGAACCTGTGCCACAGGAGGGAGGACCAGATCACAGAATGAATTTAGGTTTCGATACAATTGTCCCGAACAACAGATTATTCGTGGGTGGGTCCAAAATAATCACCCAGCTCCATACATGGGAGAGTCAGAAATCCATGCCATGGATACTTGACCCGTCACTGTGGATGCAAGGTCATAATTTAAGAAGATCCATTTTGGACTTCTGGCCAACTAAGACTGTGGAATCCTTTGTGCTGTCATAAGCCTCTTTGTTACAGTTTATTACAGAGGTAATGGGAAACGATATAGGTTTGAACAGGCTTGTTTTGTGTTTTGAAATAAGGTCTACTGTGTAGACCAGACTGGCCTGCAACTCACAGAGATCTGCCTACCACTGCCTCCAAGTTCTGGGATTAAAGGTGAGCCACCACATCTGCTCAGTATTTTTTTTTTGTTCCTTCTAATAGATATGTGAAGGCATCTCCTTGTTTAATTTGCATGCCTCCAGTAACTAGTGATTTTGAGCATTGAATCTTCTCAAGTGCTTTCTGCCATACATGGTGAAAAGTCTGTTGAGTCTTGGCTGAGCTCTAATTGAATCCACTGTTTTTATAAGTGTAAAGTTATGTACATTTGTTATATACTCCAGAGAAAAATCATTTGCTGTCCTTGTAATTTAATGTTTTCCCATGGAGCATGAATATACATATACACATATACATATATGTGTGTGTGTGTGTGTGTCTACTTTTATGTCACAACAATCAACAAGCTGGTATCTCCCAATTTGACTCAGTTCTACTGCCTCCCCGGCCCTACTATTGGATCACACAGATTGGGGACTTGGTCTCCATGATTATCCCCCTCTTCAGGTCTCAATCACAAGCCCCAGATGTTCACCTTTGCTTCTGAGGGATTGGCTATGAATTGGGTTCACTCTGCTCAGGTTCATTTAATTTGCCTGGGGAACTACAGAATTGAGGCAAACTCCTGTGTGCTTTAAAGGCACTGACAGGATATACAGATGAAGGATTCATAGACCATTGTGTGTGGGAAAGGGCCTTCCTAAAACCACGGCCCCTAGAACCTCCAGAAACTGGGAACCATGTCTTACTGGGCTTTGATGAAGCTCATTGGTGGGACCAGGCAAAAAGTTCAGTTCTGTAATCCTGCCTTGAACTTTATAGTAACCATCCTCCACCCTTAAGCTACCCAGGATACACCAGCCACAAAATGATCTCATTAGCATACAAAAGACTATCACTCCAACAGGTTTTAAGGATTTTTGGAGCTTGCATGCCAAGAATCTATAAGAGGTCCAAATATATGTGTATGTATATATTTCACAACATCATAGTAGTTAGTAATTCATCCTTTTCATAGTCTTGCCATCCTGCTTACATGGCTTTGCTTAGAGCAGAAGTTTTTAATGTTGATGAGATCCAGTGTTTCAAAATTTCCATTTATGAATCAGGCTTCTGGTGTCAAAGTCTAAAAACAATCTTTTCCCTATTCTAGATCTCGAAGACTTTCTCCTACGGTTTTCTTGAAGTTTTGTTGTATTTTCCATGTAAGTTCTCACTCAGTCTACTGAGTCAGTTTGTAGATAGAGCATGAGGGTTTGTTTTGCAGGCTTTCACTGTTTTCATGATGTCTCCTTGACTCACAGTATCTGCTGAGAGGACTGTCTTCCCGCCATTGAACTGCTTCCCCCTCTTTTTTTTTTTTTTGTTTTTTTTTGTTTTTTGGTTTTATGAGACAGGGTTTCTCTGTATTGTTTTGGAGGCTGTCGGTCTAGCCCGACCTCGAACTCACAGAGATCCACCTGCCTCTGCCTCCCGAGTGCTGGGATTAAAGGCATGCGCCACCACTGCCCGGCGCATTGCTTTTCTCTTTTCAAAGTGAGCTGAGGAGACTGGCCAGCTGGCTTAGCAGGTTAAGGTCCTTGCTACCAAACCTGACAACCTGAGTGTGAGTCTCAGAATTACACAGGAAAGAACTGACTATGACAAGTTGTCCTCTGCCTCTACATGGGCAAACATATATGCATATACATGCACACAATTAATAAAAGGTTGGAAAGTGAGGTTTTATAATAGGGATGGATCAGAGTCCAAAGGGACTCTGAGATTTCCAGGATCTTGTACTCCTGAACAAATTGGACGAGGGACATATGGATAGTGATAAAAATTAGACAGTTTAAGAAAAGGGCTGGGTATGTGGAGCAAGCCTTTGGTCCTAGCACTCAGTAGGCAGGGGCAGGTTTGGGTGGATCTCATAGAGATTTGATGCCAGCATCGTCTACAGACTGAGCTCGGGGCAGCTAAGGCTATGTAGCAAGACCTTCAAAAAATAAAAAAGGAAAAGAAAAGGTACTCTTTAAAACTGAAGTGACCTGGGACAGGTCCAAGGCCCAAAAGCCGCACCCCCAGAGCCGTGACTTATATAGGCATGGCTTTCCATACCATCCATCCTTCCCCACCTAGATTTGTGTATCGTGATTTTCTAGAGTGTGCTCTGCCCCTTACTTGTAGCCATTGTGAGGAAGGGTTCCCAGTCTTCCTGGTAACGGGGTTCTATGCCAATCTTGATGTCTTTCTCTCTTTATGACCAGCCTACGTGTTTGCTGTAGAGTGCTGTAGAGTGCCCATGATTCTAACTACTGGGGAAGCTGACACAGTAGGGTCACTCCATCACTTAGTCCAAGAGGCTGTTCTGGGACACCGAAACACTCACTCGGAGGAGGAGGAGCAGCATTGGGCATATTGTTTTCTGAGGTTTCTGTTCAGTTTCATTCATCTGTGTATCTACCCTTCCCCCAATTTTCATTCTGTAGCTACTTTGTAAGCCTTGGCATCATGAACCCTTTCTTCATGTCTGTTTTGCTCATTGTATAACTTTTAGAATGTAGAACAAATGTGGATGTCTACAAAGCCATTCTGAGGGTTGTGTTTTCAAGACTAGCTCTTGCTATGGAGCTTTCACACTCACACGGTCCTCCCACCTCAGCCTGTAAGTGTCGAGAGTCTAATGTAGGAATTAGATTAAACCTACACGTCAGTTTGATCTCTGAAGGCTCTAACAGGCCTGAGCATGGCAAACGTTGCAGACAGGTTTTGACTTTTCCCTCTCCCTTGCTAAAAACTGTTACATTCCTAAAGCTAACACCCCAGATCCATTCTCTTATTTGGCCACTGACTCATTCCAGTGACAAAATACTGAGGTCCAACAATCAAAATTCATTATGTGGCTGCTTAGCCCAATCAGGATTTACCAACTCATCCTAGCTGCTGCTGCTTTTGCAGCTGACCCACCCCCACCCCACTCTCCCGGCTTGCCCTTCTGGGGTGATCTTTTTTGTGCTGAGAATTTGGTGTCTGGGTGTGTGCTGTATGGATTCCTGGGGGCTGACCTTCCTTTCAACCTCTTTGCTGTGTTATGTCTTCCAACCCATGATCTTGGCATGTTTCCAAGTAATCAAATCAATGATTAATTTCATTATTGTCTTAATTAGGGGCTCTCTTGTTGGAATAAAACATAACCAAAAGCAACTTGGGGAAAAAGAGTACCATCTTACAGCTTCCAGTCCATCCTTGAGGGAAGTCAGGGCAGGAACTCAGAGCAGTAAATCCTGGAGGCAGGAGCTGATGAAGAAGCCATGGAGGGCGCTGTGTTCTGGCTTGCTTCCCATGGCTTGCTCAGCCTGCTTGCGCTCCCTCCCTCCCTCCCTCCCTCCCTCCCTCCCTCCCTCCCTCCCTCCCTCTCCCCTTCCCTCCCTCCCTCCTGCCTTCTTTCTTTGCTTTTCTTTTTTTGGTTTTTAGAGACAGGGTTTTTCGGTGAAACAGTCCTGGCAGCTCTGGAACTCACTCTGTAGGCCAGGCTAACCCTTGAACTCACAGAGATCCGCCTGCCTCTGCCTCCTGAGTGCTGGGATTAAAGGCGTGCGCCGCCGCCACCACCGCCCGGTTTAGCTTTCTTTCTTATACCATCCAGGACTACCTGCTTAGGGTGACACCACCCCCAATGGGCTGGCTGAACCTTCTCACATCAATCATTAAGAAAATGCCCTATAGGCTTGCCCACAGGTGAATGTTATGGAAGTATAAGATTCTTAGTTGAGCTTCCCTCAATAACTCTTTTACCAAGTTGACAAAACCCACCAGGATAATTCAGGATAATTATCATTTTAAAATTTCATAGATTCTGCATGTGTTTTATCGTATGTATGTATGTATGCATGCATGCATGTCAGGATTCTCTAGAGAAACAACTGGTAGAGTAAATCTATCTATATATATACATATAAGATTAATATAGTAGTAATGTATATAACATTATTAGAGAAGCTTAGTCTGTGTGATCCAGCTAGTCCAACAGTTGTTGACTCCTGATGGAAAGAACAAGAATCTTAATAGCTGTTCAGTCCACAGGGCTGGATGATCTTCAGTATGTGCTGGGATCCCAAAGACATCAGGATAGATGAACTTAGCAGCCAGAGTTAGGGCACACAGGAAAGACACAGATGCTTGTTTCCTTATGTCTCTTTATATAGGCTTCCCCAAGAAGGAGTGGCCAAGGCTTCCAGTGGGTCTCCTGGCCTCAAATGATTCCGCCAAGAGAAACCCCTCACAGGTGTGCCCGGATACTTGGATGTCAGTTGACTGCAGATGGAGTCAAGCTGACAACCAGGGCTAACCAGCATATATATAAAACTAACAGAAACGTTTTTGTGTTGCTGTTAGTTTACAGAGATGAGACGAACTTCTGTGGGTTGCTTTTAGAGCCTATGGCATTGTTAAACTCCCTAGTTCTAGGAGCCCTTGTTGCAGTGGCTAAAACTTCAAGTGCTATGTTGGGAAGGACTGAGAACTCATTTCCTTCACTTTTCCAGAGCTGAGGGGGGAATGATCCAGTCTGCCGCTGGTACAATTTTTGGTAGGCCCTATAGGATTAAAGAAATTTCTTTTTCTTCCTGTTTGCTAAGCCCAAAAGATCATGCAGTGAAGGTTTTGTCCTTAGTACAGCAGTGTTCAGGGGTGGGATGTTTTTGAAGTAATTGGATCGTGGATTAGTTCACTGATGGAATCCTAAGTTGATGAGCTGTTGGGAGGTAATAGAAACAAGACTAATTGAAAGGAAAGTGCCATTTTAAAGATGTACTTATTTGTATGTGGTGGCTGTGGGCACATGAATCCAGGTGCCCCTGGACGAGGGCACTGGAGTCGTCACGGGCCCTTGCGAGCCACCATGTAGGATGTGGGTGCTGGGAACCTGCTCTGCAGGAGCAGCACACAGCCTTAACCACGGAGCCGTCCTTAGGGACACGTAGTTGAAGGCTGTATCTCATCCCGGGTCCCTTCGTAACTCCCCTCTCCCCATATCTGTGTCCTTCTCCCTGTCTCTCCGTGAACTAAACAGCTTTGTCATGCCCCATACTTCTTACCATGGTGTCATCCCTATGACCCAGAAACAGTGAAGCCCAGTGACCTGAGATTGAAACCTTGGGTCAAGATATCTCCTTCCTAGCCAGGCGTTGGTGGCGCACGCCTTTAATCCCAGCACTCAGGAGGCAGAGGCAGGTGGATCTCTGTGGGTTCGAGGCCAGCCTGGTCTACAGAGTGAGTTCCAGGACAGGCTCCAAAGTTACACAGAAACCTTGGGGGGGGGTGGGAATCCTTCCTGCTTTAGGTGGATCTCCTCAGGTAGTTTGTCATATCATAGTGATGGAAATCTCTCGCGTAAACACATGGATGTGTACACATATACATACACACCTACCTTCTTGGTAGATTTATTTTTTAAAGATTTATTCTTACTTTGTATAAGCATTTACTTACTATGTCCCCCATGTGCATGCCTGGAGACCCTGCAGGCCGTGAGAAGGCCTTTTTGTGAGACACCTGACATGGGTGCTGGGGACAGACCCCAGGTCCTGTGCAAGAACAGCCAGTGCTCTTAACCTCTGAGCCATCTCTCCAGCCCTTTGGTAGATTTCTTTTTTTAAAAATGGGGTTTCACTATGCTTCCTGGGCTGGTTTTGAATTCCTGAAAATAAACAATCACTATTTTCCTGAATTAGTCCCCTGCATGCCTGGTAGATGACTCTGTCCATTTTCACCCCTCATGTTGTTCTTTCCTCTAAAATAAATTATTTGGCATTAACATAGCCATTCACGTTTATAGTAATAAGAATTTAAACGGTTTTAACCAATGTTTAACCACAGCGTGCCCCCTCCTTTTTTTTTTTTTTTTTTTTTTTTTTTTTTACTCTCAGCATATCTGAAGAGATTTCTTGTTTAGTGTATCTTTTGTCTTGTTGTTTTTGTTTAGTGGATTTTTGTTTGTTTGTTTTCTGAGATAGGTCTCCATAAATAGCCCTGGCTACCCTAAAATTCACTCTGTAGACCAGGCTGGCCTTGAACTCATAGAGATCCCCTTGCCTCCTGACTGCTGGAAAGTGGCTGTTTGTTTTAAATCCACTCTGTGGGTCTCTTTTAATTGGTGCAACTTCAATCATTGATGGGTCAGGTATTTGTCCACCTTTTGGTGTTCCGTCTTTTATTTGGCCCCTGGGCTCATTATTCCTGTTTTCTTTTTCTCCAGCCGCCTGCAGATGTTTTGAAGAGCGTTGTGATTCCACTCTGTGTTTTGTACTGTTCGGTATATTGCTTTCTACCGCTGTCTTAGTGGTTGCTCTTGGCGTTACCACTCACATCTATGACTTGATACGGTGTTGGTGTCCACACCTCACCATTTCTAAGTGTCTGACCCTTAATTCCATTAGTGTTCCTTTTCCCTCTCAGGTTCAAGAATGTAACTGTTGAAGGATTCCTTCAACACCGAGGAACCACATCCGATGGTACTTCGTGAATGTGATTAGAGAAACCCATCAGTGAACGACCTGCTTTGCTCGCCTTATTTTTATTCTTTACATTAAAAGATTTTTTTATCTATGTGTATGTGTGAGAGTACAAGTGGGCACTCGCAGATGATGGCATCAAGTCCCCTGGGGTTTGAGTTACAGGCACTTGGGAGCTGGGAATCCCAGGTGGATCCTTTGGGAAGCAGCAAGTGCTCTTCACTGAAAAGTTTCTACACCCCAATAGCCTCTCTGCCGATGCAGCAATCCAAGTCAGACCAAATCAAACTGAATTAGAACAAGGTCCCGGATGGTCTCCCAGTCCTCCAGAGAGGAAATGGGACAGGAAAACCGGAAAACCACGAGTCTATTTTCTGGAAGGCCATTTAAATACCCTGTGAGCATCTCTGGGGGTGTGCGCCACCCCCGCCCCCAGCCAGCTTGGATATTTTTTATTCTTCATACTCTTTTCCCTTAATGAACTCCAGTGATAAGAACATAGGATCGGCCAGGTGGTGGTGGCGCACGCCTTTAATCCCAGCACTCGGGAGGCAGAGGTAAGTGGATCTCTGTGAGTTTGAGGCCAGCCTGGTCTACCGAGCGAGTTCCAGGACAGGCTCCAAAACAATACAGAGAAACCCTGTCCCAAAAAACCAAAAAAAAAAAAAAAAAAAAAAAAAAAGAGAACATAGGATCATCTTCTTTTCCCTGTACGTTTCTGGGGACTTGCTTGTTTCTTTTTCTAGTCTGTGTTCTCTGCTGTTGATGAGTAGATCCGGTTGTTTTGAGGGCTGCTGACCCTATTGTCACCAATGTACTCATGAGTCCATGATGCAAGGCTTTAAATTCAAGTTCTGTGTTTTTCAACACTTGATTCGAAATGACCCACAGTTGTTTGCCAGAACATTTAAATGGTACCAACTTTCAAGTCTCTGTGAGATAGTCCTAGTGTCAGCCCTCCCTGCATGGACGTCAGTTGACTGCTTCTCTTAAAGTGTGCTTTCCTGGTTGTTGGTATTGTGAGTGTAGGTTGTATCACGGAAGCTGTGAGGATTGTCTTGGTCATTTTAGCAGGCAGTCGTCCTTCAGGTGTAGCCTAAGTGAGCATCTGGACAGCTTTTGGGAGATACTTGACATGGACGTTTCAGAGACCCCGTATTGCTGTTGTGGTGTGTTGCTTGCCAGGGTAAATGGTGTTTCCACAGCGCCGGGGCTCTTGCGGCGCTTGGTGGAGAGACGTGTTGTTTTGACCGTCCCCTCCCATCAGTGCCCTTGGGGAACACAGAGTCCTAGCTCTGGGGGCGCTGTCTTTCCCTGTCATTGACACGATGCAGGTTTTCCAGTGGCTTACTTATTCTCTGTCTATTCCTGCAGAAATTTTGTACTGCAGGGCCCTGTGTGTCTAACCAGAGCATGTGGGAACTAAGATGGCCACCCAGGAGTCAGACCACAGTGGAGCTCTCAAGCCCATGGTCCCAGACGGTGAGCTGCCATCTTTGCAGCTCTCGGTGTTCCTCCATGTGTGTTGAGTAGCATCAAGGGAGAGAAGACGCGGGAAAGTGAGTCTACACTGTCTTGTTCTTGCACCGGAAGTCCTGTTCTGTCATATTTCATCGTCACACGTGGTGTTTTTCCTCTCCAAAGAGGGTGTCTGTGGTGGCAGTCCATACAGAAAGCTCCTGGGCTTTAGGCTGCCAAAAGGGTCTGCCACTGTGGAGGCTGGTGAGAGGGTGAGCTGGTACAAGCAGAGGTCATGGACCAGAGACCAGACACCAGGAGCTCACTGTGTACCCATGGGAAGAAGGAGCCCCAGGCCCACAGAGCACCCTGTCTGGTGGGCCACAGAGTGCCAGGGGCTTGGGGGAAGCATGGAAAGTGCAGTTCTGGGGACGGGAAGACAAGGGTGGGAAGAAGGGAGGCGGGGCAGCGGGGAGAGGACCAGAGGCCGACTTGGGCCTCTTAATGCTGGACTCTGATGTTTCCTTATGGACCCAGGGTAGATGCTTCCCTCTGGAAGCCCTGAGGCCCCACCCAGACCTCCAGGATCAGAAACTGCCCGGGCAAGAAGGGAGGACGGAGCTGGGCGTGGGGCCAGGAGGGATTTGTAGGGAGCAAGGGCCCTGGGTGGAACAGGAGGGAACAGCACTCAGAGAAGCAGGAGGTGGCCACTCTCAGCCATTCCCATCCTAGGATAAAAATACCAGCTTGCAAAATCAGCTGCTAATCTTGTTGCTAGGTAGAGTTCAGCTCCTGAATTGCTATTCTGTGCTAAGTTTGGCTGAACAGCTTTTCCCGGGAATCAGACTCTCCGCCTGCTAACTCTGGGCCGGGGAGGAGGCGCAAGAAGGCAGGCGTTTGGCTGTTGCTTTTATGGGGGATAGCCTGGTTATTATCAGTCTCCCACCCCTAATGCCAGACAGACAGACATGAAAAACAAAGACGCAGATCCCACTGAACTGCAGAAAGGAAGATCTGGCCTGGGGAAAGGACTAGTCTTGGTCCAGCAAAGCTGTCTTAACGGTCTGGAACCATGGAGGCTGTGCCACAAGGAACTGGTCAGGGTAGGGTGTGGGCAGGGTGACACCATGATGACAACCCTAAGAGCTGCATGGACCTTAGCAGAGGGACAGGCAGCATGTAGCTCTGGACACCAGGAAGACGACTTACAGAGAAAGTGACCTTGTCCCCTCCACCTCATCTGCCGTGTCTAACCCTTGAGGTGACCTTGGTGGAGGCCTGAGAGGAAGATACGTGGCCCCGTTAGCTGAGGATCAGGAAACAGGAACTGTGTGAGGGACCAGGAAGCCTACGCCAGGGTCAGGCGATCACAGGGATATCTTAAGGACTGTACTTAAAACATAAAATCAAAGCTTTCTCTGGGGGAAGGCTGCAGATGGCTGTGTGAAACCAAAGGGGCCGCCTGGGGTCTCAGGGTTCACCAGAAGGAGGGACAGTGCCAGCCAGAGAAGCCAGCCATAGTGTGGAGGTTCTTCGTGGTTCCTCAGACCTTAGGGACTGCCCTCACCTCTGTGGTGGGGGCAATAGTCCAGAGAGCTTGGGCTGTGGAAGGGTCCTGAACTTCCCAGCTTGTGACCTGCATTATCTGCACAGCAGTGTCATCAGCCAGATTTTATTCAACTCCAGGGACACAATGCAGCTCCCCAGTTTGTCTGCTGTTGTCAGTATCTTCTGTCTGGGCCACCAGGATGCCGTTAGGAGGACACTGAACCCCTTTCTCATCCTCTGTCCTCCAAGGACAGAGCTATGGTGCTTCCTGTGGGTTTTGGTGTCAGAGAGTCGTGCTGCATTCTACAGAGAGATAATTTTGGACCCCAATACACTTTCAACTTCTACTATCAACAAATAAGCCTCATTGAACCAGCCAGTCTACATGTTCAAACCCCAGTTGTAACCTAAGGTGGGCTTGTCAGAAAATGAGCTCTAGCTGACTATGAAGGCCAAAACAGGAGTTACCCCACTCCGTACCAGCTCTGTGTCCCCTTCTGGAGACATGAGGGAAGTCCTGTGTCTCACCCTGGCCTGTTGTCAGGACTCTCTGGGCTGCAGCATTTCCGCCCCTTCCTCAGACCGTCCACTCCAAGAGGAGACACGTGCTTGTGCTGTTGCTATCATTTGCCTCTCGGGAATCAGTTTGCCAGGATTAAAGAACTAGGAGCAGCACCGGAGCCTGAGGCAGGAGTGAGAACACACGGGAAGAAGAGCTTTATGTAGCATAAGTTCTAAAGCATCTTCGTAATAAAAACGCGGAGTCAGGTATGGGGGAGGAGCTGAACGATCAGAGAAGCAAACAGCCAGTCTCCAGCTCTCACCTCTGCCTCACACCGAGTGGGCAATCCTGTCTCCATATTGCCTCCTCAGACTGCATCCTCATCTGCTTCAGACTGCTCTGAGTTCCTGTTTCCTCCAGCCTTGTATTCCTGTCTCCACCCAGCCATACCGTCCCTGTTTCCACCTCCTTAGTGCTGGGACTAAAGGCGCATGGCTCCCAAGTGCAGAGATCACCTTTGTGTGAGCTGTTTCTCTTTTAGACTGGATCGGTTTTGTGTAGCCCTGGTGACCTTGAACTCACAGAGATCCGTCTGCATCTGTCTCCAAAGTGCTGGGCTCAAAGGTGTGTGCCACCACCGCCTGGCCTCTATGACTAACTTGTGTGGCTAGCTTTGCACTCTGGTCTTCAGGCAGGCTGTATTTGTTGGATGATAAACAAAATGCCACCACACCTTTATCCCCTAAAGAGGGACACTGTGGACGTGGGAGAGCCCAGTGCCTGTTTAATCTAGTCCTTCGCCTGGTGGGGTGGGCACAGCTACAGAGGGGCTCTTACAGCACATTTTCTCTCCTAGAAGCAAGAGGCAGGAGGATCAGTCTGTCCCCCCTCTTCTGGGTCAGCTGTTCCCTTTGTTTGCTCCCTTTAATAACAGCTTTATTGAGGTATAATTCACATAGCATAAGATTCATTGTTTAAAGTGTACAATCCAGTGCTTTGGGATATTCACAGCATCCTGCAGCCCTTATCACCTCCTAAATTTAGACTATGTTCTTTACCCCCAGAAAGAGTCCTATATCCACTGACAGTCACCCCCCATCCCCACAAAGTTGAATCAGAAAAGCTAGTCACTAGTTCTGCCTTTTCGGATTTACCTATTTCATAGAATAAAGTTGGTCCTCTATCTCACCCCACAAAGAGAAATTAATCCCAAATATATCATCCCTAAATATGAGAGCTGACCCCATGTAACTCTGAAGAAAATACAAGTCTCTTCATGACTTTGGATTTGGCTGTGGCTTCTTTGATATGGCATAGATCAATTGATCTTTATTAAAATTAAGACTTTTAGCACATCAAAGTACATCATCAAGTAGGTAAAACATAACCTATACTTCCACCTGTAGAATGGAATAAAATATTTGTGGTTGTATATCTAACTCATGTTCAAGGTCAAGAATATAGAAAGGCTGACGCACACCTTTGATCCCAGCACTCCAAAGGCAGAGGCAGTTGGATCTCTGAGTTCAAGGCCAGCCTGGTCTACAAAGCGAGTTCCAGGACAACATGAGCCGTTACACAGAGAA